CACACACACACACACACACACACAAAGGATTTATTGAACTTGAAGAAAAGCCTGCTCAGTGACCCGTGCCCCGAGTCCATAATGGAACTAGGTGCTCCGAGACCACGTTTGATCTCGGTGATTTCCAGCCTGGCTGCATCGCCTTAAAACTTCTAGAAGGTACTGAGGGCCGGACTGCACCCAAACCCATGGAAATTCCCAATGGTGGACTGCGGGTATTTTTGGTAAATATTCCCAGGCCCATTTACATGTGTTTGTTCTTTGAATCACAAAACCATCTTGAGGTGATAAATGGAGTTAAATTTATAGAGACAGCCACCAGTTGTCAAAGGTTTTTCTCAGAGTAATAGATTAATCCGCTCATCAGGTGTAGCAAGTAAAAATGCTCTGAATTTAGAGGACATTTAACTCAACAGCTGTAAAGTAATCCAGGGTTTTGGACATTAGACAACATGGTACTGCATGAGAACACATGTCTGCAGTGCCTGAATTCTGGCATAACTTATTGAGTCCTAGGTATCATGTGCCGGGAATACAATGTGAGAAACACAGATGCTTATGCAGGCCGCAGGGGAGGCAGTTAAGAAGCATAAAGGCAATTACAGTGCAAGGATAAGGGCTACCGCTAGAGGGAGCACTGAACACTGGATGTTTACGCGGTGTCTCCTAATTCAGTCTAGAAGACTGAGAAAACAGTACTGGAAGGACTTTTCTAGACCAGGGGTCCAGGACTGTGTGATTAGAATATAGAGGAGTGAGTGTAAGGTGGGAAAGGGACAGAAGCCAACCAAAGGGCTTGAGTAAACCTTTACGAACCATATTTAAAAGCTTGAGTAAATCCAAGAATATTTTAAAGGGAAGTAAAGGCCTTTATGCAGGAAAGTGGAAGAGGTGATGGTGCCATGAGCTACTACTGCATTTTTTTAAAAAAATTTATTCAGTATTTGGTACAGGGTCTCACTACGCAGCACGGACTCATAGTAATCCTGTTTTTGACCTCCCCAGCACTGGGATTACAGGCGAACACCACCATACCTGGTCTTGGTGGGCTGGTGCAGCATGTGGTGCTGGGGATTGAGCCCCAGTCCCTACGCTTGCCTAAGCAAGAACTTAGTTTGCTGAGCTATCTCTCTGGCCCTCCTACTACATTTTAAAAGGATAACCAGCTGCTACATGGTGAGTTGGACTGAAAAATGGAAAGATTAGAAATTCAGGTAAGTAGTTGTTAAAAGTAACCCACAAAGGTGGTACCACTATCTAGTGGTGACCTATACTCAGGAAGTGATAATGAAAATATTGGTCTTCGTGAGTTTGAGGTGGAATACCATAATTGAAGAGGTAGGCAAAGGGCACTGAAATATGGTGAGGTGGGGGGAAAATCAGGAGTATGATCATGGAAGCCAAAATGAGAGTATTCTAAGAATGTTAATACTATTTCTAGATTAGGGAAAATAAAGTGTTTACAAGACTTATAATAAAGTAAAATCTCAATGGCATGAGAAGTGGGCAGGGGAGTACTGGGACCTGAGTACACAAGGACAAAGATCAGCCAGAAAGAGGCAGAAAAGGAAAATCTAGGGAGATAACATTGTGTGGCCGTAGCTTTTTGGGACTACTGTAAGTAACTGTGAAGCTTCAGGCAGTTATTTGATTCAACTTCTCATTCATAATATGGGGATGGATAGTATTAATAGTATTTATCTTATAAAGTTGTTACTGAGATTGAGATAATTTATGGAGGATGCCTAGTACATATGGGCCCCATTAGTGATAGTTCACTCCTCTTATTAAAACACAATGAAACAACACTTAAAAGATTTTTTAAAGCTGATTTACTTTCTTTCTAGAAACAGTGTACTGATTTTACAGATGTCCACATTTGGTTTTCCGTTCACCAAGATGATGTCAGTACAGCTGGTGAGGTGCAGCACACCACCTCCTGTCCTTCTGCCTCTGGAAGACAAGCCAGACTGCAGAGGGCACCCGCACAGAAGCTAACAACTCCAAAGGACAAGACTAAGCAAAAGCAGTTTCGTGTGACCCAGTGCTCTAACATGCCTGATTGTTACATCAAATATGGTAATTTGGGGGTCCTATGGGAGACAGACAGGGGAAACCATTTGCATACAATATGAAGTTTACAAACCAGTACTTTACCTTCAAATTAACAAGTTTCTGTAGAACAAAATGCTATTTTAAAAGCACAGGATCTGTATACAGTTGTTTTATCTTGTAATTTTTGTAAAAAAGTATCAAAACCTTGCCTTTAAATATATATATTTATACAGGTGGGTTTTTTAAAACTACTTTCTATAGCACAAAGTGTTCGCAAATCCAGGGGGTTTCTGCTGATTCTTGACTGTGCACATGGTGCACAGCCTGAGTGAAGAGTTTCCTGATTCTTTGTTAACTGAAAATATGAAGCTGTAATTCCTCTGCCTTCTAAAATCTTCATTATCCTGAAAATTCCGAGTACCCTAAAAATAGTGAGATGCTTTTTGATTCTCTATTTTCATGCACTTATGGGAAAGGAAATTATTCTAAAACTTTAAACTGCTCATACTCTGTGATGTGTATGGCTGGAGTTGGGGTGTACTTCACATTCCTGGGGGATCCAAATGCCCCTCTCCCCATTCCTACTCATTCTGGACTGTACAGTGATTGAGATCCCCTCTCCAGACCATGTCTTCCTAATTTCCAGTTTATTTTCTCAAAGTTTAGAAAATCTAAGACTTTTTTTTTTCTAAGAGGTTCTTGACAACATGCATGCTTCTGTGAAACTCTCACTGCCCTTTTATTAGTTTTCATTAACTATATCAGCAATCTCTGACTCATATATATGAAAAACAATCAGCATTTCCCTGTGGCCATTGGGAAGCCTGAGGCTGAATAATGTTATGTCTACAAAGTGCTGGCAACACATCCTAAGTCCCACTTAGTGCCCTGTACAAAATAAATGACCAAGAAATGTTTGCTTAATTAAATAGAAGTATTTTATAAAGTGCTTATGTTCAACATGTCTTTCCATTCAGCCTCATTTCTTGGTAAATCCATTTGAGTCTTTCATTCCACTTATAACTACATGTAGTTCCTTAAAGTTCCCATGCTGGTTCACACCTCAGAGGTTAGTGTTTCCCTGGCTAGAAGCCACCCAGACACCTTGTAATGGTTGATACACTGTGTCAACTTGAGAATTGAGAAGTTTGGAAGCTTAACTAAGTGACTCAGCTGGGTGCCAAGGTCCTCACTTTGTAAATATCCTGAGCTTAGCAAGAGGAAGGCACAGAGATGGTATGGGCAGATAGCTGGCATACAATATAAGGGAGGAAAAGACTTGCCTCCCCCCTTTGCTCTTGTTGCTTTTGCTGTCTTCTGTGGCCTTGAACTGTTGCCCTCCTCCATGCCACTCTGCCTCAGAGCCAGCTGGTTATAGACTGAAATCTCTACAAACTGAGCAGCAAAAGAAACCTTTCCCTCTTTAACTCTGGGTGATACATATTTTGTCTTAGCAAGGAGAGAAAAGTAATCAACACACACCCCTTAATTTTTAAGACTTAGCTTAAGGTTGCTTCTCCAATAATGACCCCATTTCTCCTCTCAAGTAGAATGACCCCTTTTGCCTTTTTCCCTAACAGCACTTGACATGGAAACTATTCCTTTTTTTATTCACAGACTTTTTTCGTGAGTTCTGTAAGGACAGAGAACATTTACCTGACCTTTACATCTATTGTACCTATTATACTGTTGCCACCTAATAAATGGTTTTAGGGAATGAATGCAATGCACTGCAAACACACAGAGATAACGGAAAGGATAGCTAGTTACTTATTGCCATGAACGTAAATCCTATCATTTTCTTCTGACTAGCCAAAGTTACAATTATTCCAATGTTTTATATATAATCATGCTATTGAGAGTAAAGTTTTAGACCCTGCCAAATAGCTCAGCAGATTAGAGTGCCTGTAAGTAGGCCCAGGGGTTGGAGATTCGATCCCTGGGCCTGCCTTGCCGGCCCCGCCCCTGGGGCACGCTCAGACAGCAATTGAGACTGAGTGTGGTGGTGCATGCCTGTAATTCCAGCTCTTGGGAGGCTGTAAACAGGAGAATCACT